TAAAAAAAAAAAAAAAAAAAAAAACAGCAGCAGCAGCATCAGCAGCAGCAGCAGCAGCAGTAGCAGCAGCAGCAGCAGCAGCAACATGTGCAACAACAACAAGAGCAGCAGAGAATAGAGCAGCAACAGCAGCAAATCCAGCACAGCACAACATACATAATCAGAAGCAACAGGAAAAGCATCAGTAAATACACCACCAGCAGCAGCAGCAACAGCAGCAACAGCAGCAACAGCAGCAGCAGCAGCAACAGCAGCAGCAACAGCAGCAACAGCAGCAGCAGCAGCAGAAGCTTACCATCATATTCTTTAGGTATTCCTTGTACAAAATATTTAATAATTGGATACTCAATTATATGCTGATCTAATCTACATAAGGAGACACTTTCCTCACAATCTACCTTAGCTAAGGATATATAAGGAGGAAGAGGAAGAGGAGGAGGAGAAGGAGAAGAAGAAGAAGAAAAGGAGACAGGGGAAGGAGATAAGGAGACACCTGAGGATATAAAAGGACAGAAAGGACAGAAAGGAGACAAAAGGAGACTTTTATGTTGTTTATTATCTATGCTTGCTATAGATATATATAAGAAGAAAAAGAAAAAGAAAAAGAAAAAGAAAAAGAAAAAGAAAAAGAAAAGGAGACAGGAGGAAAGGAGACAGTTATAGAGGAGAGAGGAGAGGAGGAAAGGAGACAGTTATAAAAGAGGAGACAGGAGAGGAGGAAAGGAGACAGTTATAAAGGAGACAGGTAAGGAGACAGGTAAGGAGACACTTAGAGAGAGGAGACAGCTAAGGAGACACTTATAAAGGAGACAGTTGAGGAGGAGGAGGAGACTGTTGAGGAGGAGGAGGAGACAGTTGAGGAGGAGGAGGAGACTGTTGAGGAGGAGGAGACTGTTGAGGAGGAGGAGACAGTTGAGGAGGAGGAGGAGACTGTTAAGGAGGAGGAGACAGTTGAGGAGGAGGAGGAGACAGTTGAGGAGGAGGAGACACTTATAGAGGAGACAGTTGAAGAGGAGGAGACTGTTGAAGAGGAGGAGGAGACAGTTGAGGAGGAGGAGACAGTTAAGGAGGAGACAGTTGAAGAGGAGGAGGAGACAGTTGAGGAGGAGGAGACAGTTGAAGAGGAGGAGAGACTTGAAGAGGAGGAGACAGTTAAGGAGGAGGAGACAGTTGAGGAGGAGGAGACAGTTGAAGGGGAGGAGACAGTTGAGGAGGAGACAGCTAAGGAGGAGGAGACAGCTAAGGAGGAGGAGACAGCTAAGGAGGAAGAGACAGCTAAGGAGACAGCCAAAGAGGAAGAGACAATTGATGAGGAGGAGACAGTTGAGGAAGAGGAGGAGACGCCTAAGGAGGAGGAGACACCTAAGGAGGAGGAGACACCTAAGGAGGAGGAGACACCTAAAAGAAGAGTTACCTGTTGCTGCAGAGACACCTGTTGCTGCAGAGACACCTGCTGCTGCTGCGGAGACACCTGCTGCTGCGGATACATTAGATAAGGAGACAGTAGGTAAGGAGAGAGTAGGGGAGGAGACAGAAGGGGAGGAGACAGAAGGGGAGGAGACAGAAGGGGAGGAGACAGAAGGGGAGGAGACAGTTATGTTATTAATAAGGGTAGCAGCAGCATCGAACTCTTGTAGTGCAGCACGAGACCAATGACACCAAGGTGCATAAAATAATATAAGTATAAGTGTCTCCTTTTTTATATAATTAGTAAATGTATCCTCTGTTAATATTATTGCTCCTTCTCCTCTTGCTCCTGTTCCTGTTGCTGCTGCTGCTGCTGCTGCTGCTGATTGCGGTGGTGCTGCTGTTGCTGTTAATGTTGTTGCAGGTGGAGGGGCAATCACGTCAATAGATCTATCAGCAGCAGCAGCAGCAGCAGCAGCAGCAGCAGCAGCATGGGGAGCAGCGGGGGCAGCAGAATGGGGAGCAGCAGCAACAGCAGCAGCAGCAGCATGGGGAGCAGCAGCAGCAGCAGCAGCAGCATTTGCTGGTAAAGGAGATTCAATAGGTGTCTTTCTTAAACCTCCACCACCAGCAGCAACAACCCCACCAATTGTATTCTGCTGCTGTTGCTGCTGCTGCTGCTGTTGCTGCTGCTGCTGCGGTTGCTGCTGCTGCTGTTGGCGAAGCTGCTGCCGCTGCGGCTGCTGCTGCTGTTGCTGCTGAGGTGCTACAGGGCGAGCAGGAGGAGGAGGAGGAGGAGGAGGAGGGGGCAATTGCTGCCGCAACTTCTGTGTGGGCTGCTGGTGCTGTTGTTGCTGTTGCTGTTGCTGCTGCTGCTGCTGCTGCTGCTGTTGCTGCGGCTGGGATCTCAGCTGGGGTTGGTACTGCTGCATCTGCTGCTGCTGCTGCTGCTGTTGCTGCTGCAGCGTCCGCTGCTGCTGCGGTGGATTCTGCTGCTGTTGCGAGTTAAGCTGTTGCTGTTGCGGTGGATGTCTTAATTGCTGCTGCTGCTGTTGCTGCTGCTGCAGCTGCTGCATGGCCCGATGTGGCTCTG